AAGTAGGAGGTCAGTGGAGAAGGCCCTGGTGGCGAGAAGGCACAGTGGTACCCCCCTCAGGCAAGCTCCATGCCAGTCCCACCCATGGCCAGCTCATCCCTCTCTCCAGCGTGTGGTAACACCGCCGCTCTCTCTGCCCCACCCCTTCCCACCTTTCTCCACACTTGCATTGCTCAAGACTTCACTCCAACCAGCATTCCTCTGTGGGCAGACAGACAGGTGGCCAGGCAGACGAGTGCTTTGGGAGGGAGTGTGTGGAAGGAGTCCCTGACCCAGGTCACTGGCGACAGGAAGGGAAGGGAGCTGGTTAGGAAAGGTTTTTTGCAAGAGAGGACACCTGAGGAGCTTTCTGAACTACAAAGAGATGGTAAGTAGGCAAAGAAGTTGGGAAGGCACATTCCGTGAAGAGGGAATGTTCCAAGCTTACGGGGAGCACGAGCCTTGGAGAATGGCTAGGTGTGTGCGTGAGTAGACGTAACACTGGGAGGAGGCAGGGGCCGCAGCAGGGGCCGCGTCTTGGAGGACCTGGAATGCCATACATTTGAGGATGAACCAAAAGTTTTTAAGCAATGGGGGTGACGATCTCATTTGCCTTTTCAAAAAGCTGCCCCAGCAGCGCCCCGCCCGCCCCGGCAGAGATACATCAAAGAGGGGCTGGTCTGACCTCGGGAGTCAGGAGAGGAGGTTGTAGAGAGTCACAGATGGTGGTGCCAAAGAACGCTCACAGGGAGGCAGGGGGAATGGGGACATGAATGGATGGAGGGCTTCCAGGAGCCGGAAACAGCAGTTCTTGCGGCTAACCTAACCGAGTCTCGTGTCCTCTTCATGGCAAAATTATCGGCCTCTTTTTCCATCTGTGGATACGAAGGTCCAGAGAAATGACAATTGCCCAGCATAAGAGCTCGACGCTGACAGTCCCCACCCTGTGTCCTGCCGAGTCCCATAGTTCTGCGAGGTGCCCCTTGGGGGCTGTTAGGGGGCATCCAAATGGGGGCAGGGTCCCACCACCACCAGAGCAGCTCTGCTTTCATCAGTTTCATAAATGGCAATTCTACATAAGATTGCCACTAAAAGGACGATTTTGCCGCTTTAAAGAGCCCTATCGACTCCCATTGCGCACAGAGCTAGATCTAGGCTGGAGGGCTGGCCCCGCAGTGAGCTGAGCTATCCAGGGTCCAGATTTCCTGTATCCCACCACAGCCAGGTGTTCCTAGAAGCCTTCACTTCAGCAGCCCCCCACTCCATACTACCAAATCTGTGCCTGGGGCACCAGGCCTTTGCCCCTGACAAGTGACAGTGATGCCTGGCCGGCCTTCTCGTGAGCTGTAAGGAAGAGACTGGCACAGTCATGCACTAGGCATTGAGAGGGAGGTTCCAAACCGCTTCGCAGTCCTGGGGACTCCTCCTGCCCAAATAAGCACCAGTAGGGCCCCTGCAGGAGTCAGAACCTGGGAGAGCGATCCTCTGTCCATTTACAGCAAAACTGGGGATACGAAGGCTGCTGGTCACAAGCCCTGGTCTACCCTTCCTCCACACCAGGTTAGAAGAACGATCAATGGAAGGACAGAGGCAGGAAATGGTTAACCCAGAGAAGAGCCTCAGAAGCCAATTGACCCCTCCCGGTTGGGCAATAAGGCCTCTGAGGGCTGCTTTTGCTGACCTCCCTTTGGCGCCACAGAGCTGGACAGCCAGAGCTTCCAACCTGTCTGGAGGTGGGGGTTGGTGTTCAAGGCAGGACAGGAAGGGATGGTGGTGGGAGGGAACCACTGGGATCTGCATTTTGGGGAATCAGGAACCGGCAGGCCCCAGAGGGTTTGTCCCTTGGCAAGACTGGCAGCTGCAGGAATAGATGTGAGAGACCTTCAGTTGTGGAAAAACCTGGGAATCGCTGCAGAGAACGGGAGCCAGTCTTGGCTTCACTGTGTGTCTTGGGCACTTTGCTCTCCCCCTCTGGGCCTCAGTTTCCTTATCTGTAAGATGGAGAGGCTAGCACAGCCAAGGTTTTTTAAAAATCAGAAATGTTTTGTGGGTCCTATAATTTTTTAATAATCAATTTTAAAAATCAAGTTTATAGACCTTTGGGCGTATCTCACATAAGTTGGGAAACCGTACTGCTGTTTGTTGCCAATAATCTTTCATAATGTCACAGTTTTATGATGGAATTTTGGAGGAATTACTTTTGGCCAACTGGAAATAATATAGTTAACATTCAACTTAGATTCTAATGTGTAAGAGGCCCCATTTGGCTGACTCAACTCCAGCAACAATCGCCTTCTGTGGTGAGGCCTTTAGACTGTGTAGGAAAATCTTAGGTGGCCTGCGAGCTGGGATCAGGCAGGTGCATTTGGTCAGCCCGCTGCGCAAGCCTAGGGAGAGGATTCGGGCCAGTAGTACCCAAAGTCGAGAGACTGAAGGTGAGGTGGGAGCTGCGGCTGCAGGAGGTGGCTGAGTTGGCCCCTAGTGGTGGGAGACTCGGGCAGTAGGCACCTTCTGCCTATCTAGGGAGCAAGTGGGAGCCCACGACAGGAGACAGAATGGGAAGGAGTTGGTAGCGAGAGATGGATGAGCATAATGCCTCATTTCCTCCCCTCTGTCTCCTCCCTCTACTCTCTCCTCTCCCTAATGATCCGTGATTCAGGTGGAAGAGGGACTGGGAGTCAGAGCGCCTGGCTCCTGGTCCTGATGCTTCCTCTCAGTGGCTTGTGACCTGGGCAAGCCCCATGGACTCTCTGGACCTCGGTTTCCTCCTCTGCCAAAATGGGGATCCTCTACCGTCTTTGCCTTCCTCATGAGGTTAGGAGAGCCAATGAGAGAATGCTCTGGAAAGCACCTTGTAAATTGCAAAGCACTCTACAAACAGAAGGCATCTCCATTGAACAATTATGTAACCCGCTGACTCAGAACTGGGCTGCGCTGGCTCCTCTCCCGCCAGGACGTCAGAAGAGCTGGCTCGGTCCCTCACCTGGCACAACTCAGTTATAGTTTCCCATCTGACGAATGGAGAAGACACTCATTGTCCTGCTTTGCGGATTTGTGGCAAGAATCACAGAAGATCATGTAGGTGCCAGAGATTTAATGTGTTGTTAGTGATAATAATAATGGTACAGAAGAAACTTCCCCCTCCCGGCCTGCACTTAAAAACCCCTGAACTCTGGGAACGCCCTCCCTGCATATCTGTGTCTCTTCCCAGGGACTCTGATCCTCACCAGGTTCTTCCCATCGCGGGCCTCTCTGCACTCAGTCGCATACCAAGCTGACTATGTCTAAATTAATGAGCTCAGTGGACACTGGGCGGTGAGTGGCACAGTGGCGCAGACGATTTCGTGTTTTGTAGCTCTTAATGCAAAGGCTGGCACACAGCAGTCATCCCATAAATCTGGAATAAATGAATCATGTTTTAAATGTTCTTAACATACTCGCCCGTCACACCTGGCCTAGGTCCGATATGTAGTTCAGTTTCCACTATTTTTTTTTAACTGAAAGCAGTAAGCGGTTTGAAGAGAAGTCAAGGAATGAGATCAGTGGCCCTAAATTCTGGGGTAAAAAAGAGCCAGGAACTGGCTAGACAGCCAATCAGGCTGAAAAAGAGGTGGACAAGTTTTGGGGGTTCTGAGTCCTAAATCTTAAATTCAGGTCCTAGTTGTCATTTATTAGCTGGATTCCTTGGGCTTCAGGACACGTCTCTTAGCTTGAATTTCACCAGCAAGGAAGAGTAATTCTTCCCTTACTGATTCACAGCGGTGGGGCAAGAACTAGATGCCATGTGTGGAAACCACAATACAAATTTTTATTGAAATGTAGGCAATCCCTAAGGAGTCCATTACTTGTAGACTTCGCTAACATTTCCCAATACAGCCTGAAGAGGGCAGTGTAGCGCAGGAGCCGGTTTGGCCGACCCTCCTACCCGCCCACCCGCAGACACACAGAATTGGCAAATACCCTCCAACCCCTCAACCTGCCCGTGATTTTTCCTGCGCCAGATTGCAAACCGTTCTCCCTCTTTTGCATACGTGCAGGGTCGCAGGCTGACGTCTCTGAGTTTTGTGATAGAAGCATAAAGACTGATTCCCACAAAGAGGATAATGGCCAGGATTGGGGTCCCGATACAGTTTTGCGACACCTTTTGCTGTCTGCACAGGTCTCTCTTGGGCAATACTTTGCAGCGTTATTTCTGGCAAGGAATTTGAAGTCGGTTGCCTGAGTAAAGGGTAAAATTAGAAGTGGGGATCAGGAGTGAAGGTCGAGTTAGCTTGCTGTGGGTCCCCCTTCCCCCGGGTCAGAAGCAGGTGGGGACTGTGTGGAAGAGGGAGGGGGTGAGTGCTGGGGGAATGGGGATTCCTGTCATCTTGGTCTTGGGCAAGTTACTTTACTTCCTCATCTGTGCAATGGGAGTAACAGCAGTAACTTTCTCCTAGGGTTGTGTAAGGAACAAAATGAGGTCACAGAAGTGAACCACCCAGAGTAGCATCGGGCCCAGAGCGAGTGGGCAATGAATCAGCTGTCTGGGAAGGTGGCTCCTGCGGCCCCACTGTCTACTGCCTCTTCTGCAGGATTCAGCATAGCGCATTAATGGTGACCGTCCCCAGGCAAGGAAAGAGTCAGCTGGATTTAGAGGGAGTCTGCGCACTGCAGTGGCAAAGGCTGATGCCGGGAATGTGCTTTAGCCAAAGGGACCACAGAGAAGAGGCTGGAAATAATAAGGGTCCAGCGGCCCCCAAAGGGGCCCTTCTTCCTGGTTCCTACTTCCTCAGTGGCAGCCGTGGCTCACTAAACACTTGTCCTGGGCCAGTGGGCAGCTGCCTACTGAGGGACAGCCTTGAATGGAGCCACCTTATTGACCAGTGTGGGCAGAGCTTGTGGCCTCAGGCCCGGTGGGGTCAAGAGGTCAGACAGGCCATGCGAGGCAGCACGTAGGGCCCTCCCCTCCCCCTCTGGGTTCCCAGGCCTGCTGCCTGCTGCCAGGATGGGGCAGAGCCAGGCAAGTAGGGTGCTCTCAGGAAAACAGAACCGCCAACAGCCATGTTGTGGTTTCAGTTCTTGCCAATGAGATTGAAAAATACAAAAACTAGGACCCCGTGAGAGCCAAGGGCCAGCCCCCATCCCACCTTCACGGCTCCCACCACCCTCATTGTCCAGTGGGCTCTTGCTGTCATGGGAGTCCCCATGAGACCTGGAGAATTCATGGCTTGCCGCCCAAATTCTCCAGTCCATCCTGCCCCTCCTTGGTAGGGGCAGAAAGAGATATTTGCCCTCCAGCTTGTCCTGGCATCACAGTTCCGCAGGGCACCGAGATGAGTTAGGGGTCTCCCCAGCACGGCGCCTATCCCCGTGTTTAAGCTGATCAACTCTGAATTCCTCCTGCTTCGGGGCCTCAGGCTGGCCCTGTGACATCCTTGGATCTGGGTTGAGCTCTGGACAGTTCCTCTGGCCCCTGCGATGTCACCGCTGGCCCTGGAGTGTCCAAGGGATAGGCTGGCGCTGAGCTGATAGCCCCTCAACAGGGGTCAGGAGTGGTGGCGTGGAAGGCGTGGCACAGGCAGTGGTGGTGAGCGAGGTGGTGGACGTGCCCAGGGTGCAAGCACCTGGTCACCTGTCCCCTCTCCTGCAGGCCTCCCCTGTGTACAGCTTCAGCTTTCCCCGCAGGAAATTGGAGTAGATTCGGAAGAGTTTGCACAAAGTATCAACAGCGAATGTTCGGAGTGGAGCAGCAGAGGCTGCATCTGGAGGGGAGATGGCTTCCTTCTACCAGGGAGAGAACAGAAGGTTACTGCAGTCCGGGACCCCAGAGTGAGATGGGATTCGGGGTAGAACTGGAGCGGGGGATGAGGAGCGTCTCAGTGTTCCTGGGCAGAGCCCTTCTCCCACATTACAGAAAGGGCAGACGGAAGAGTGTGGGAGGGTCCTACACACCTGGGCTCCCAGCGCCCGAAGCAGGGAGGTGAGGCTGCGCAGGCTGCTGACGGCTTTGTCCACATGCAGCCGCAGGGTCTCAGATGGCTGGGAGGAGTTGGCCAACAGGGCCTGGCCCTGCAGAATGGCTTCTGAGAGCAGGGCCAAGCCCTGCCAGACTTCCACAGCCTGCTGCTCCACCTAAAGGGAGCAGAGTCTCGAGTCAGCTGGCCCAAGCCGCCCTTTCCCTCCTCCCTCTCAGCAGCCCCAAGCACCAAGCTGAGCAAACAGAAGGCATGCAATAAGGCTTGTTGAATGAATGAATGAATGAATGAATGAACGAACACTTTTCATTCAGCCCTTATCTTTGCTGCTTAATTTCTTTTCTGTCGTCATCATTCTCCCTCCCACCCTGTCAGGCTCCCAAAATGAGACTCTCCAAGAGGAAGGAGAAAATGAACTCACCTCCATCCTCTTCCAGGAGTAGAAGTTAACCTTGGTGTCTGGAACGGTGACATTCTCACCAAAGCTGCAGCCTTCGGCACAGCCCATCTGAAATGCACAACTGGGGAGTCAGAACCTCCAGGGGCCCCAGCCCCGGCCCCGGTCCCAGGCCACAGGACCCTCCGCCTCTGCCCCTCACCTGCTTCCAGGTATGCGTCGGGGGCTACCAGTTTTATCAGTTTTACTGAGAGCTCTGGCTTCCAACCTCCACCCCTGAACCAAGTGCCAGGAAGGAGTCGGGGCTCCCAGATCTTGGAGGAGACCCCTGGGCCCCTGAGAGTGAGTCCTGTGGAATGTCCTGGGGAGGGGACCTCACCGTGACATTTTCGGCCTCCCTGGCCTCCAGGATGTACCTCTCCAGGACTCGGCTGTCACAGATGAGGCGTGGAGGGGCGCCCAGGGCTGGGAGGCCCAGAGGAGGCAGTAGCAGGGACAGCAGAAGCAGCAGGGCAGGACATTCTGGAAAGGAGATCCGGGCTGAGTGTGAGGCAGGGAGGGGAAGGGGAGGGTTGGTTTGGAGGGGCAGGTTCACGCATCCCCCTCCTCTGCCCCCAGCTAGTGGCTCCTGCCCCCAACCTTCCCAGCGCTCAGGGTCTGTCTCCTCTGCCTTCATTCAATCCTGCTGCCGCCTGCACACCCCACCCCCCAGCTACCGGCATCCACCTCTCCCGGCCAAACTTCAATCCCGGTGTGACAGAGGCTGCCCCTCTCGCAGATCCGGGTTGTTGCTCCGAGACCCAGGTATCAGCTTCCTCCCCACCCACCTGGCAGCCCCTCTTCTCCCTGAACCCCCAAACCTCGTCCCCATCTCCAGGTCAGATTTTCACCTCTCCAGGGACTCCCCGGCACGTGGAGGCTGCCCCACCCCCCTTGCCCTTCCAGGGTCCTTGGCAAGTGGCTGAGTCCTTGAACCCAGTCACCTCGGGGCCAATAGCCCCGGCGGTAAATCCCTCTTCAAACAGGGGCCCAGGACGGGCGGGAGCGCCCCAGCCCGCGAGCACTCACCGCGCACCCCCATCTCCACGCCTCGCCCGCCGGTCAGACGCCAGGGGCTCGGCCGGCGCCCGCGCCGGGAGCCCTCATCCCGGGAAGCTCGGCGGGGCAGAGCCAGCCCCGCGAGTCGAAGGAGGGGGCCGCGGTCCAGGGGACGCCGAGCCGGGGTCGGGGCAGAGCGAGCGCAGGGCCCCTGGCCAGGGTCCGGAGGACGGCGCGGCCAGGCGAGGCGACCGGCCGGGGTTGGCCCGGGGACTGCGGCTGCGGCCGGGGGTCGGGCTGTTATCAGGCTGTGTGCGTGCGTGTGGGGGGGAGGCTGCGCGCGTGAGGGGTCGCGGGAGGTGGGGGCCAGAGGGGTCAGAGCAGGGGGCAGGACGCCTGGGTCGGGGGCTCGCGGGGCGGGAGCAGAGCTGCCGCGGGCGCGGGGCCCCCGGCTCCCGTCGGACCCCGGATGCCGGGAGGAGCAGCCGGGTGCGCACCAGCAAGACGGGCAGAATGCCTGCGCCTGGGACAGGAGCGCCATTCTGCGAAAGGCTGGGGACCCCCACGCCTCCCTGGGGGGCGTCCCAGTCTTGGGCGGGGGCTCAGAGCTGGGAGTGCCTGGGTTCCTGCGAGGCCGCCGGGAAGGTGCTGGCAGGGGCAAGTCAGGTTGCCCTCCTTCTCCATCCCAGTAGTTGTTCTAGAAACCAGTGTTGTTCCTGTTGAGGGATTTGATGGGGGTGCCTGGCGCAAGAAATCTGGGGGTCTTCTCCCAGGACTTCTCATTTCTAGGACCCTGAAGTCCCAGACACTGAACTTTTAGGGCACAGAGCACATGGCATGCTGTGCAGGACACACATGCACTTTGCCGTCCATTTTTCTGACCTGTGATATAGGTTAAACACCTGTGTGGCAAATTCTTCAGAACCCTGAAATAGCACTAACCCCCAGAGTGGTGGCAGCTCGGATTTGCAGTTAAGCCGCTGTGGCTCCTAGGAAGCCCTGTGGCAGGGGGCAAGCTCCCCCGAGCAGGAGTCCAAGGCTGACCGGCCTCTCAAACCTTGGAAAGTGGCCTCAGTCCCTGAGCCAGAGGGCCCTCACCTGTCAAATGGGCGTGCTGCAAGTACCAGTCAGATCCTGTGCAGGGCTCACAAAGGACAGGAAAGTCCCACAAATACAGGTGGTTACATATATATATGTGCTTTCACTCCCTACCCAGTCCCATGACCTTAGAGGTATTTCATTCATGCATTCAGTGTCTTTTTTTGTGCAAGATACTTGATCACACACTTTGCAGGACAAAAAGGTGTGTTGAGACCTAACTCCTGCCTCCTGGAGTGTGTAGCTTAGGACAGAGATGAGTAGACAGGGCCGTGTGTGAGGACTGACTGCAGCGCCAAGCTGTAAGAGTTTGGAAGAGGAAGAGCTCACCTTGAGCTGGGGAAATCAAGAAAGATTTGATACAGGAGGTGACAATGAGCTTAGCCTTGTAGGGCGGCTAGGATTTCAATGGGAAGAGATGTGAGGTGGGGGGGGAGGCGGATCCAGCTAAGTGAGTGGTGGGTCAGGTGTGTCGGGGTGGAGGGTGTGGAAGGGAGAGGCGGAGATTTAGGCCAGAATGCTGGCTAGGGAGGGGTCAGGTTGTGAAGGGCCTTGAATGCCACTCTGAGGAATATGGATTTTGTTCCAAAAGAGTGGGAACCATTCATTCATTCATTCAAGAAATATTTATGGAGTACCTCCTCTTGGCCAGGGACCTGGGGATGAGACAGACAATGCCTGTCCTGGAGGAGCTGACATTCTAGTGGAGAGGTAGATGGAAAACACAAAAATGAATAAAAGATAGAGGCTCTCCAAGGGCAATGAGGACTAAGGAGAGAAGGCATGGGGCAGGGGTGGGGTGGGGTGGGGTGGGCCGGGTTCTGGATGAGGTTGCCGTTTTAGATGAGGCAGGCAGGCAGGGGTGCCAATGAGAAGGTGACCGGAATAAAGACCTGATGGAGGGGAGGGAGGGAGCCATAAGGTGTGGGGAGAGCATGTTCAAAGAGGGGTTCAGAGAGGTGAACGGGAGGGCTGGGGGACAGAGGCTGGTGTGCGTCTGGCGGGAATTAATGGGGGCCCTGGACCCTCTGCTCACCTCGAGCCTCCTCTTGGGGTCCTCCCTGAATCTGGCGTCTGCACGCCCCGCTATGCCCTCTGGTCCCAGCTTTCCTCTCCACACCCAGGCAGCCTCCCAGCCCCACTTAGCCCTCAGAGCCCATTCTGCTCCCTTCGCAGATCCCAGCTGTGGGACGAGCACACGCACACTCACGTCCACACACGTCCGCACATGTGTTCTGCCCCGACCCCCCACTTCCCAGGCTCTGCGTTCCCGATCCCCTGACTCCTGCGTCACTGCCCTGACCTGACCATGGAGAGGGGGCCAGCGACGGATGGGGGCTAGACACGGCCTCAGGAGAGGAGGAGGCTTTCAGGCTGTGCGACCTGCTCCTCCCCTCATGGCAACTTGTCAGAGGCGCCTGCCTTCACGAAAGGAGAGGACGTGGGCCCTGAGCACCCGTCCCTCGGTGCTGGGGCCTGCTGGACAGGGGTGGTGCGGGCTCATCCCCTGGGGCTTTTGGAGAGAGAGCTACGATCAATCGCAGCTTGGGAGACAAGGTAGAGGAGAGGATCTCGGTTCCCCCGCACCCAAGAGTAATCCTACCAAGAGGACAGAGGCTCGTTTGGGGGCCAACTTCAACCCAGGTGCTCTTGGGTACTGCCCAGCAGGGTCCATCTACCCGTTCTTGATGGCGGGAGACCCTGAGGAGCAGCAAGAAATCGGGAAGCCACCTGAGGCTCCCCGGCCAAGGCCTACCACCCCCCTACCAGTGCCCCCTCCATCTGCCTGCTTATATTCCTCTGGCATGGGGCTGACCCAGTCCCAGGGCCACCACAGAGGGTCTCCTCGCTGACCTCTCCCGTTGACCCCCAACCCTGCTGCTGGATTAACTTTCCCATTGAATAGCTGTCTTCCTGTCACTCTGGAGCAGAAGCCAGCAATGGCTCCCGGTTGCCTCAGAACTAAAACCCCGTGTTCTGCCATCCACCTACCTTTCCAGCCTCTTCTCCCACTTTGCTCATTCCCACTCCCTCCATCACGGGAGCTCAGTTAGATGGTTTGCTGCTTCCTGTCCTTTGCTCATGCTGTGCCTTCCACCTGGATCACCCTCCACACCATCTCCCCGTGTTCTTCAAAGGCCAAATCCAAGCATTACCTCCTCTATGAAGCCTTCCCTGATCCCCCCGCAGGAAGTTGTCCCCTTCCTCCGTGCTGCCATCCTTTATGTACATGTCTTAGGCCTCGCCTGGCTGGGCCACCATGTCCAACTGTCAGGGTTGAGCACTGCACAACTCCAGGGAGTGCCATTCACATAGACTCTGATGAGAATGGTACTCTCTGGAGTCAGGCAGCACAGGTGTCCTGTTAATCAGAGAAGGGAGCAAAGGACAGTCTATGGCAGGTCTCGTTCACCTTCGTACCCACCAGGCACCCAGCATGTTGCCTGTTTACGGTCATCACTCCTACGTGGCTTGCGTTGTGTGGTCCCTCCACTCCAGACACCTCAGCCAGAGAATGGGCCTCCCAGGGGGAAGTGAGCTGCTCATCCTGTGAGTGCTTGCTGGAGCCATGCCTGGACAACCTAGCTCTGGGATCTCGGGGGCTTGCGAGGCGGCCATCCACTTCCTGAGCAGGCAGTCACAGAGGCAAGGTCTGAAAAGGGACGGTTGTGACAGAGGATGGCGGGGGTGGAGGCAGGCTCTGTTCCATGAAGTCTTCCTGGCAGCCAATTCAGACTGAAAAATCCAAGGAGAAGCAAATTTACAGCCCCCCTGAGCTGTCCCAGAGCCCCAGGCAGCACGAAGCCCCAGCTGCCTGGAGTCGTGTTGGGGACAAGGGGGGCCTCCGGGCCTCTCCTCCTTCCTCCTTTCCAAGCAGTGGTTTCTTGGTTTGGCTGGGGAGTTCAGCCGGCAGCCCAGAAGCCCTTCTGTGCTGGGAAGTGAGGTGGCCCGGACCCTGGAGGGTACGGTGGTGGAGGGCTGCCGGACCCTGGGAAACTGGGAAGGGAGCAAGAACGCTTTAGAAGAGATTCCTGGCGGAGAATCAAAGAAAGTCCTGTGCGAAGGTCAACTTGGAGAAAATGAGGCAAGGGCTACTTTCTTGGCTATAAAGTAGCCAGTATCACCAGACATCCGGGTTTCTGTTCTCAGCCAGCAGCTCTGTGGCCCAGCAGCGATTGGTGGCCTGAGCTCTGCCACTTGCTAGCACCCGACTTGGACAAGTGACTTTATCCCCGAGCCTGAGGATGGTGAAAATGATAGTAATCACTTCCCAAGCTGTCATGGGATTACGTAACGCCTGGCATAGGGTAATCGATAAACGCTGCTGTTACTCCTGCACGCTCTGCTTTAGTATCCTTCCTATTTGTCTCCACTTTGGAGGCCTGGAGATCAAATCTCCAGCATATTCTTCAACCTTCCTCCATCGTCTTCCGCTGTTCTCTCTGGGGAGCTGGGCACAGGTTCATGGCACCATATCTCTGGTATTGTCGCTGTCCACCCCCTCCCCCAACCCCAAGCAACTCATTAGAATTGTGAGAACAGTGCAGTGTGGACAGAGGCATCCCTGGGTGTGTACAGTGACTATACTTTAGAGAAACTTGCCCCTGAACACCACTGAGTGAAATGGCGTCACTGCGGGAGTTGGAGGTGGGTTAAGATGCAGATATCAAGACAAGTCTTCAACTTAGTTTACGCAAAGCCTGGGGCCAACAGGGATTTCTTGCCCTATCAATGTGGGTCTCCTCCTCGGGAGGCCCAGAGAAGCCCCAGAGACCTGGGACTGAATGAGGCCTTTGGGCCCACCCCAGACAAACCTTGGAGCATTACAGGGTCATCTTCCTCGGTCGCTTGTCTCTTGAATCCCTCCAATGCCACAGTCCTTGAAGGATGGCTCCTGGAGCACCAATACCTCCACCTCCAGCTCCAGAACTTCTTCCCCTGGTTAGGTTTCTGTGAAACATGTCGGCCTACATCCTAGGATCTCTAACTTACAAGGATTGCTGAATGTTCCTAAGCCTCTTCCTGTATCACCCACCCTATATCAGAAGATGGAGCTGCTAAATTGGCCTGAGTAGCTTTCCTGTCCAAAAATAAAACAAGAGGATCCTAACTAAATTAAAACACTCCTGGCAACACCAGTGGGAGTGATGTTTTTCTCCCACGAAAGACCTCTGCAGGTGTGTAGTTGTGAATACAAAAGTTTCCTTTTGTTAACCTGGCCTTGGGGACTTTCTAAGGATTCTGCACGCACTCTACTGGGTGGTCCTATAGGCTCTTCCTACTTGGAGGAATAAAGGCCACAATCTACTCAAGGCAAGTTTATAGAAGCCTCAGACATACTCTTAAATATCCAAATTTAGCAAATGTTTTCCCAAATTGTTCATGGCTCACTGAGAACCAACAAATTACAAGAACCTATTGCTTGACCCCATAGGCATCCCCCGACCTGAATGTAAGTGAGCCTTTCTGCTCACGTTTTATTTCATGGATCAGCAAATAATTTTAGTACTTTTGCAAAAGTATGTTTTTCTTGCATCAAACAAGATTCATAGACGCTGAGCTGAAAGGGACCTAGAAGGTCCCCTAAAGATGAAGGTCCAGTCTCTGCTCGCATAGTTCCAGTGACAAGACAGGTGGCGTTTCTCAAGGGGACAGAGACTTGTTATAGAGTCAAAAGCAAGCCATCCTGGACATCCGTCAACAAATGCATGCATCCATCTATTCATCAGCTATTTATTAGTTACTGGATTTGGCAATGGAGTCACTTCGACTTTTATCTCATCCGTTTGATAACTAAACCCCCTGATCACCCCCCCTAGAGAACAGAACAAAGGAACAGGCTTTGTAAAAAATTAACTTTTTCTTATTACAAAAACAATATGTGGGGCTGGCCCGGTGGTGCAGCAGTTAAGTGCGCACGTTCCGCTTCATCGGCCCGGGGTTCACCGGTTTGGATCCCGGGTGCAGACATGGCACCGCTTGGCAAGCCATGCTGTGGTAGGTGTCCCACATATAAAGTAGAGGAAGATGGGCACGGATGTTAGCTCAGGGCCAGGCTTCCTCAGCGAAAAGAGGAGGATTGGCAGCAGATGTTAGCTCAGGGCTGATCTTCCTCAGAAAAAACAAAACAAAAAAAACCCCACAATATGTGATCACTGAAAAACTAGAAAATGTGACTAACCCAAAACAAATTAAAAAGGACCCATAACCCCATTAGGAAGATCATCTTCAGTGGCCATTTTCACCGACTTTTTCCTTGGTGGGATAACCTTTGCCTCCCCCCACATCTCTGTGCAGGTGGACATCTGTTCCCTAAGGAGTTACTTTTGTGTGTGTGTGTGTGTGTGAGGAAGATTAGCCCTGAGCTAACTGCTGCCAATCCTCCTCTTTTCGCTGAGGAAGACTGGCCCTGAGCTAACATCGTGCCCATCTTCCTCTACTTTATATGTGGGACACCTACCAGAGCATGGCTTGACAAGCGGTGCCATGACCACACCCGGGATCCAAACCAGCGAACCCCAGGCCGCCGAGAAGCGGAACGTGCGCACTTAACTGCTGCCCCACTAGGCCGGCCCCTAGGAGTTAGATTTGACACATACTCCAGTCCAACTTCTCCAGAGGTTGGAGGGTTTGTGGAACATGCCATTCTTCCCCGGCTCCTGACCAAGCACCAGGAACTCACAGGGACAGAGTGTGGGGACCTTCCCAGGAGGATCATCAGCACATCCAAACCAGTTCCTATGTCCTGAGGGCCTGTCTTCTGCTCCCGCAGGTGAGCCACAAATAGAAAAGCTCACAGAACTAATAACCCGGCCTCGTAAGTCAAACACACACACACACACACACACACACACACACACACACACGAATGACCTTCCTGCCCCTCCCCCATCCCCATTAAGAGGCCCTAAACCATTTTCCAGCAAAATGTCTCATACTAACAATAGCAGCCGTTACTATTTATTGAGCCCTTACTAACGCCAGCACAGTTCTGAGCACTAGGCAAATTATTTGTCTTTTTAAATCTATCTGCTTCCTATTAGACTTTGCAGGACCACTGGCTGGCACCTCCCCGGGCAGGCCTGGCGCCTAACAGATCCCTACAGCTAGTGGATGCTCAAGATGCTATGGGTGATGAGCCAACGTCTACAGCCTCCTCCAAGACAAGCCTTTCGGTCCTGGCCTCTGGGGATCTGTTTTTGAAGCAGGAGGTCATTTGGCACTTATTGTGGGCTCTGCAGTTGTCAAGTAAAAACAAGGTAGAATTGCATTTGGACGTACCTTCTGCCCCATCCTCTTCTGCTTCCCAAGCTTCCACGGAAGACGCTTCAGGGAGCCAGGAGAAGGGAGAGGAACAGAGCCCAGGGTTGGCGTCCCTATGGGAGGAAAACTGAGTTCCTGGCCCGCCCACCGTGCATGCACTCAGACAGATGCAGGAGCCTTCCCCACACCCCCTACCTGCCCACACACACTACAGGGTGAGCCCCAGACCCTCTCTTCCTTCAGGGGCAACGTCTAGGGGCTGTTTCTGCAGACCTGCCACTGAGGGAAGCCCCATTGGCAAGCAGTGAGAGAACATGGAGTAGAAACAACAAACAAATAGGCTGAAAGAGGGAGCTGCCAAAATAAACCAAACGCAGAAGGGCTGCCTGCCGCCACCTCGGCTGGGCCTAGGCCAGGAGCACAGAGACACAAGAATACATACGTGCAGGGAGACACAGAGCTCACTGCAGTTCCCTGCTGGCTCCCCACTCTGCTACTGCAGAGCCCCAGGGCAGGGGAGCCTTGTAGTCAAGGCTGACAAGGGAATGAGGTGGGGAGTCTACTGGGGTGTGATAGAAATGTCTCTGGTCTTGTCTGCCTCAAGTCTCCCCAGTGCCTCCTGCTTTCTAGCACCCTGAGTGACCCTCTAGTCCCAGAACATGCCCCACCTATCCACGAATCCCCTTTGTGCATGCTGACCCCTCTGCTAGATATGTCCTTTCTTTTTTGCCTGGCAAACTCCTATTCTTCCTTCAATACCCAGGCCAAAAGTGAAACCATTTTAGACCCCACCAGGAAGTTTGCTGTTGCCTTCACCTTTCCCTATTGTGGCTACTCTTACTTCTTATGTAACACACCTTACTCATACACAAAAATTTGTGTATCCACCTTCCCAATGAAATGGTGAGCTCCTTGAAGCTAGGGGCTATTTTATACTCATCTTTGTATCCCTCCCCAGGGCCCAACCCAGGCCTTGGCTTCCAGGAGGCACTCAGCATGTGTCATGTGAATGAAGCGACAGTCCTTCCTGTAAGAGTCTGCTTTCCTGAGTTGCTGGCAGTCAGTCATCCAGCATCAGAGTCCCTCACCAACACGAACACTCAAGCCGGAGGAAGGGATTTTGATAAATGAGAAGCCCGATTTTCAGAACCCCAAACCAAACTGCCTTCAAGCAAACTAGAGTAAAATTCTGTTACTAACCTTTTGATCTGAGGCTTTTAAACTCTTGTGACTCGACCGACAGTAAAAAAACACAATTTACATCACTAGTACGCATGTATATATCCACATCTATAACTGAGTGTCAACAAAACAGTGCCATTTCAGTTGCATTTTTTGTTCTGCACTTGCTTTTAAGTCTATGACCCAGTAAATTGATTTCAAGACCCACAAACGGGTCATCACCCGCTTTGATAAACATTGCTTTAGGTGACTCTGGTTGGATAAACATGAGAAATCAGATCCTCCTCCAAACACGCAAACAAAAAAGTATCTATTACCTGTGTGCCCAGTCATTCAGGGGGCAAGCTCTCCTTTCCCACTAGAACAGCCCAGCCAGAAGGGTCTGATGGGCTCTGGACCACAGCTGCTTGGATGAATCTGGGCCCCGCAGGACCAGGAATCAAGTGAAACTTGTGTCGGTCCCGACATCAGAGACCGACACAAGAGGCCCCGGTCTTTGCTTCCTTCCTCCTTAAACCCTCACCATTCCCGTGCCTGGAAACCGCCACTAGAGAGCCTGATGCTTCTCGAGCCTACATCTATCCCAGCTGGACTTCAGCCGGCCTTCCTCTGAGAGGACATTTTAAAGCAAACACTGGGATCGTCCAGCTTCTACACTGTAAAGTTTGTTTTATGCTACACCGTCCGTAGTAAACCTATGCTCTCTGTGAAGGCAAGAAACACTTGAGTTCCCCTCCCGTACCCAAATACTTAAAGTTTCTGGCTCTCCTTTCCAGATACACACAGAATTTACACAGGCGAGAGGCAGTGGCAGTGGGGTGGCCTGACACTAGCACAACTTGACACTTTTTATTGTATAGGACAATGGTTACAGACCACAAAGATTCAGGAAGACCCACTGCTTGGGCCCAAAAAGAGACAAGACTCCCCGTGTCAGTTCAGTCCTCTGGGCTGTGAGGGGACAGGCTTTTTCTTACATGGGTCTGGTAGGAAATCCACGACAGTACTCAGTACAACGAGAGCCTCAGCTGAGCCCAGCTGCGTGAAGGGGCACAGAAAATGCAAGCCAGCCTCACTTCAGTTACTTGGGTGTGACCCTGAAGACTCGGATGTGGATGGCCGAGTTGTTGCGGATGCGGGTGAGCGGCTCTCGCGTATCAGTCTCTGGTTCCAGCTCATCGACAAGCTCTACCGTGGAGGTATTGGCAGCCACCTGCAAGGACCCGAAGCTGCCTGCCTGCAGCTGTAGGGCAATGTTGATGGCACGGTTGATGGCCAGGCCCAAGCCGTGAATGTAGATCTCAGTGCATGAGTTCTGACCGCGCGCCCCGCCATCCAGCAGCTTTTGGCAGCGGGCCAACTGGGCCTTAAAGTCAGTCTTCATGTTGACATAAATGTCATTGGGTCTCCGGGGCAGGCGGTGGGGCAGCCGCTTCCGAAGGGTGTACTCCACCGGGTCCAACTCAGCCTCGACGGCCCCGCGGGGTTCTCGGTTTTCTGCCATGCTGTGTGCCCTGGCACGGGAAAGGGACAAGATCAACGAGGGTGACTTCGCCTCCTTTCCCATCCAGTTTCCTTCCCAAAGCGTGCAGCCGGGAGGGGGCGCAGTCGACGCCCCTCTTCCGTTCCAGCCTCTCAGTCCCCTCCCACTCCCCTCCAGTCCCCGTATCTCCCCCACCCCCGGTTCTCAGTTCCTATTCATCCATGACATCACCAACCTCAAGCCCTCCGCCGCCCCTTCCCCGCGCCTACTCTCCCCAGTCCACAGTACCCTCTGCGCGCCCGGGGCCCGCTCCCCAGCCGGGCCACTCAAGCGCTGCGCCGACCGGCCCGAACAGAGGGCGCTGCTCGCGACCCCCAGGCCCCAGGAGCGGAAGAGAAGCAAAGAGCAGCGCTACAGAACGCCCGATCACGACCGCTCCGTCGGCGCCCGGCTCTGGAAAGGGCTGCGGAGCGTGCACGTGGCCCCCGCCCCAGCCAGACCCCTGCGGCGCACGAATGGCCTTCCCGGCTTCCGTCCTCCCCGCCCCTTTCCTGAGCGCTCGCGCGACCGCGCGGTGTGTCTCAGTAACGCGAGGCTTCCGGAGTTGACGGGATCTACCACGTGTACGCCTCGGAGGCGGGGCGCGGGGCCAGGGGGCGTGTCCCAAGTCGAAGCCGGGGAGGACTAGCCGGGGAGGGTCCGCTTTCCCAGGCCAGGCCGAGTCCCCGGCCCGCGAAGGGGTCCTGGAGGAGAGAAAGGCGGGGAGGAAGCCACTGTAGCGGCGTGTAGGACTTGAGGGAGGGTCTTTCAAAGAGAGCAGAGAGGGCGGCGAGTTCAGGAGAACGTGATCGCGAAGGGCCTGAAGGCACAACTGGACTCCCGCGCCCATCACTTCCCTCCTCCAGTCAGAGGCGGCGTGGCGGAGCTGGCAGCGCTGGCCTCCGGCCCGAGGGCCCTGTTGCCCACAGATGGGAGAGTTGAGTGACGAGGCGGCGGACGGCGCCTCGGGACTCCCTTGCAGTTCCTGGGGACCCGCCCCTCTCCCTTATCTCTTGCCGGGCTGACCCCACCCCAGGCCAGCCCTTGGGGACCCACGGCTTCCCCGGGGCACGCAGACCCACCCACACGCCTCAACCACGGCCCACCAGCTCGAATGCTGCCCGCGACCCGGGAGCGGGGACGTGCGCCCCCTGGCGGGCAGGGTGGAGCGGCGCGCGGGGGGTCGTGGCTCCCCAAGGCCAGCAGGGAGGGGTTTCCTCTGCCTGGGGAGGGGATTCTCCCCCGAGATTGGTGTAGCTTCTGGCGAGTTCCTTTCGGAAATGAGTTAGACATGCACTGGGGACCTGGAACTACTCTCCTCTTGAGTTTCCCCATCATTTAAATGGAGATAATTCCTGTCTTGCCATTGGGTCGTGAAACCCAATGTGACCTTGTAAACTATAAGCCTACACATGTGCGTTGGCATTTTTATGCCCCCCTGCCCACCCCCAGACCCCTGTCTAGTTGCCTAGGGTGGAGTCTGATCCCATTTGACTGGGGGCTGGAAAGAGGTCAGATCCCTGAGAATTTCTCTCTCAGCACCATTTAAATCCTATAGTTCTTTTAGCGTCAGATTCCTTCCTTAATCACAAATTTGGGGGTTTATGGGGGCGTGAGGAGGAAAGGCTGGGTACAACCCTATTCTGCCTCAGAAGTGACATCTGAGCTGAGCTTTGATGGATAAACAGAAGTTCTTCAGGGAACCAAGAAGTATTCTGGAAACACTGAACAGTATTTTCAAAAGAATGGAAGCATAATCTAAGCTTCCACCGCAAGGAATTAGAACAAGAAGAGCCAAATAAAGCCAAAGCAAGAAGATGGGAGGAAATAATAAAGAGCAAAAGACAACGAAACTGAACACAGAAAAACAATAAAGAAACTCAAAGTAAAAACTGGTTCTTGGAAAATATCTGTAAAATTGATAAGCCTCTAGTCTAGCAAGACTGACAAGAGAGTACAAGAGAAAGAAGACAAGTTAAATTATCAAACATGAAAGAAGGGATAACACTAAAGATCCCTTATACATTAAAAGATGGTTAGAAAATAATACAAACAATTCTACATCCATAAATTCCACAACTTAGATGAAATGGACCAATTCCTAGAAAACTACAAACTACCAAACTCCTCCAAGGTGAAATAGATCATCTGAATAGTCCTATAACTATTAAAGTAATTAAATTCATAGTTAAACCTTTAGAAAAAGAAATATCTAGGCCCACATGGTTTCACTGGTGAATTCTACCAAAAAAAGAAATAACAGAAATTCTACACAATCTCTTCCAGAAAACAGAAGAGGAAGGAACATTTCCCAACTACTTTTATGAGGCCAAAACCAGAAAAGACAATACAGAAGAAGAAAAGTACAGACTGCTATCTCTCATGAACAAAGACGCATAAATCCTCAGCAAAATGTTAGCAAATTGAATCCAGCAGTATATAAAAAGAACTACACACCACGACCAAGAAGAGTTTATTCCGAAGATGCAGGACTGGTTCAGTATAAGAAAACCAATCCGGACCGGCCCCAAGGCCGAGTGGTTAAATTTGTGCACTCTGCTTCAGCAGCCCCGGGTTTCGCCGGTTCAGATCCTGGGTGCGCACATGGCACCGCTCATCAAGCCATGCTGAGGTGGCATCCCACATGCCACAACTAGAAGGACTCACAACTAAAAATATGCAACTACGTACTGGGGGACTTTGGGGAGAAAGAAGAAAAATAAAATCTTAAAAAAAAAAGAAAACTAATCAATATTATCCACCATAATAACAAGCTAAAGAAGAAAAATCACATGATGCTATTGATTGATGCAGAAAAACCATTTAACATAATTTAGCACCCATTTATGATAAAAAACTCCCAGCAAACAAGGAATAGAAGGAACTTCCTCAACCTGATTAAGAGCATCTACAAAACATCTACAGGGGCCAGTGGTTAAGTTGACACGTTCGTTCGCTTCAGCGGCCCAGGTTCGCTGGTTTGGATCCCAGGTGCGGACATGGCACCACTTGGCAAGCCATGCTGTGGCAGGCGTCCCACATATAATGTAGAGGAAGATGGGCACGGATGTTAGCTCAGGGCCAGCCTTCCTCAGCAAAAATCCCAAGGAATCTGCAAAAAACTCATAGAAGTAATAAGTGAGTTTGGCAAGTTTGTAGGATACAAGATCAACATACAAAATCAATTATATATATATATTTTTAAAGATTTTATTTTTTCTTTTTCTCCCCAAAGCCTCCTGGTACAGAGTTGTATATTTTTAGTTGTGGGTCCTTCTAGTTGTGGCATGTGGGATGCCGCCTCAGCATGGCCTGACGAGCAGTGCCAGGTCCTCACGCAGGATGAGAACTGACGAAACCCTGGGCCTCAGAAGTGGAGTGTGTGAACTTAACCACTTGGCCACGGGGCCAGCCCCCCTCAATTATATTTCTATACACTGGCAATAAACAATTGGAAACCGAAATTTAAAACACAATACCAGGGGCTGGCCTAGTGACGCAGTGGTTAAGTTCACACATTCCGCTTTGGGGGCCTGGGGTTCGCCAGTTCGGATCCCAGGCACGGACCTACGCACCGCTTGGCAAGCCATGCTGTGGCAGGCGTCCCACATATAAAGTAAAGGAAGATGGGCACAGATGTTAGCTCAGGGCCAGTCTTCCTCAGCAAAAAGAGGAGAGGCAGCAGATGTTAGCTCTGGGCTAATCTTCCTCCAAAAAAATAAATAAATAAAATAATAAAAATAAAACACAATACCATTTACAATCACTCCAGGGGAGGTGGGAGAAATATTTAGTTATAAGTCTAACAAAACATGTACAAAATATGTATGCCGAAAACTGCAAAATGCTGATGAAAGAAATCAAAGATGATTTAAGTAAACGGAGAGATAGACCATGTCCATGTACTAGAAGATTCAGCATAGTAAAGACATCAGTTCTCTCCAAATGGATCTGTAGATTTAATGTGATTCCTATGAAAATCCCAGCAAGACTTTTTGTAGATATGGACAAGTTTATTCTAAAATCTGCATGGAAAGGCAAAGGAAATAAAATAGTTAAAGCAATTTTGAAATAGAAAAAGTTGGAATCACAATACCTGATTTTAAGACTTACTACATAAACACGATGATCAAGACGGTGTCGCATCTGCCAAAGGATAGAATTGTGGAATAATTCTATTCAATTAAGTGGAATAGAGAACCAGAAATAGATTCACACAAGTACAGCCAGCTGATTTTTGACGAAGGTGCAAAAGCAGTTCAATGGGGAAGGGATAGTCTTTTCAATAATTGGGCAAATAGGCAGAGAAGTGAACCTCAGCCCTATGCAAAAAATGAACACAAAATGGATGGTAGATTTAAATATAAAATGTAAAACGAGAAAACTTTTAGAGGAAAACATCTTCATGACATGGGGTCGGGTGAAGAGTTCTTAGACAACTCCAAAAGTACCGTCTGTTAAAGAAAAAAAGTGATAACCTGTACTTCATCAAAATGAAAAACTTCTACTCTGTGAAAGACCACATTAATAGGATGAAAAGAGAAGCCACAGACTGGGAGAAAATAATCACAAGTCACATATCTGACAAAAGACTGTATTCAAAGAACTCTAAACTCAAGAGTTACAAAACAAACAACCCAATGAGAAAAGTCGGGAACAGACACTTTAGCAAAGATGGTCCTAGGATGGCAAAAACACACATAAGATGTTCAACGTCATTAGCCATTAAGGAAATGCCAATTAAAACCATGATGAGATACCAGTACACGCCTATCAGAATGTCTAAAATAGCCTTGACGATACCGAGTATTGATGAGAATGTGGAGAAACTGGATTTCTCATACACTGCTTGGAAATGTCCAAGGGGACAGCCACTCTAGGAAATAGTTTGGCAGTTTCTTCTAAAACTAAACATACACTTACCATACGACCCAGCAACAGCACTCCTGGGCATTTAAAAGCTCATCCACAAATGTCCACAGCAGTTTTATATGTAATAGCCCCAAATTGGAAACAACCCAGCTATCTTCCAATGGCTGACTGGTCCAACAAACCGTGCTACGGCCATGGGATACCACTTCGCAATAAAAGGTCGATCAGGAGAACTGTTAGGCTGTTGGAATACTGGTGACATCATAGAATATTGTGCTAAGCAGCTCCCAGTTTAGCGTGGAAGGTAAACAAGATGGGCAAGAGTGTGACCAGCGTTCAGGTGGGACCATGTACAGGATTTGGTGGACCCCCAAGGAGGAACAGCCCACATGACCTTGGGGCATCCAAGGTTTTCCAAAGGAGGCAACAACTAAGCTGAGGCAGGAACGTCTAGCAGTGGGGCTCATGTCCCGTGCAGTCCCTCCCGTTACAACAGAGAGGTCTGGAAGGACTGAGCCCTCGGAGGTAGGGGAGAAGAGGAGGAACCAGCAAAGGACTCAGCAGGAGCAGCTAGTGAAGTAGGAGGAAACCCAAGGAAGTACGATGTCCTGGAAGCCAGGTGAAGAAAGCATTTCCTGGAGGAGGGAGGGACTGGCT